AACTGACAGTAGAAAATGGTATAATATGCAATGGAGATATAATTGTAGCTCCACAAGCACTGAGAAGAGACATATTAAAAGGAGTGCATGATGACATGCATTGTGGCATAATAGCAATGCCATTATTGTGATACGCATTTCTCTTTGAGTAGTAACAATCATAGCACAGTTCTCCACGTTACATTTAGCAAATGGGTTCATTGAATAATGTTGCCTTGTTCATGCTCTGCTCTCTATTTATATTGTCCTCCTCATTTGCATATGATATCACAGTTTGAAAGGTGATACCATCTTACACTCAAAGGATTTTGCTTACATAGCATGAGTTTAAGTGTGGAAATAAAAGTCAGATACTTTTTGAACACACACTGTATAATTTGTATGTTGACTAAAATCACAGAATTCTGAAGACCAAACTAATAACACCAGCCAACAAAATAATTCACTTCTACATATGTAAACCAAAATTAATTTATAAATATAACATCCAAGCCCTTAAAAATGATCATATAGAAATATTTTGTGATAAGCTAGAATCTAAACTGATGTCCTTTAAATTTGACTCGAACAACAGTGACAAATCCCATAATGTCATTGTATATTCTTTAGCCAAAGCATATGAAACCTAAATCTAAAGACGGAAAAATATCTGTCGGATGATAATTCTGAACTGAATGACTGATAGCGAAAAAACAACCCGAAGAAAATTAAAAATGGAAGGAAAAACACTCAACAGATAAAAAATAAAAATGTTTATTAATACTCTGAGAAACAAACATCTTTTTGAAGTTGGACACTAAATCAGTGAAGAAAAACAGTGTAGATTATGTGTCAAAATGTGGAGAAAAGCAAACCCCCCCCCAACATGATATCAAATATTCAAAGCCCAAACCAAAGAAATGTCCCAATCTCAAGAACCACTTTCAGTTACATTTCAACCATGACCACACCAATCTGAAGATGCCAAAGGAAATAGAATATGCATCAGAATATATTCAATCATTACAGTATTTGTCTCTAAACTTAAATAACAATGAACCTAGTTGTAACATGTAGACTGCTTTGTCACGCAGTGTGTACTAGAATGTCTGGGTGCTTTTCGTCCGTATTTATATTCTTTTACATTCACCGGGTTTTCATCTGGTGAACTATTTTCATTGGTCCCGTCTCTTTGGTCACCCTCTTCTCGTTACATCCCCACCCCCACCTCCTGTGACCACACAGCTTCTGAGTTGTGGTCACTTGATGGGATGGATAATCATGTGTCGGACTCCGTATTTGTGGAGACAATGATCTAGGTGGCCGTGATATTCTTGTGCGCCATTGTAGATCCTGAGTCACAGGTGGTGGAGTGTGTTTGGTTGCGGGCTGACATTCATCCACTTCCATGTGGTCCTCGATTCCTTCATTACCTTCTACTTCTTCTATTTCCATACTTTCTGGTATGGTGTGTGATAATTCTTCATTATCTGGTGGGCTTTGCTGATGCGGTTGTGGTGTCTGGTATTCTGGTCCCTCTACCATCGGTACTATTCTTCAGAGGAATCGACGGTTACGCAGTGTAACCTGGTTGCTACCGTCTATGCAAACTCGGTACTGTCGACTACCCAATTCTTCTACTACTTTCAGAAATATCTAAAATATTATCTGTATACAACAGTTTTCTCAGATCAATGATTAAAATGAGCAAATGGATCCTTCAAGTTTTAAGAAGACAATCCTCCATCAAACTCTATATAATGACATTACAAAATCACAAAGAACTTTATTAAATAACAAGAACTACATCACTTGAAGATTTCTATCAGCAGTAACAACAAAAATGGGTAGCACATGTAAGTAAAAGGAAAAAAATAAGTGTTTTCTTCTCTTTTTTTTTTTTTTTTCTTTTTAATCATTTCATCCCAATCAAGACAGGAATGCCACTAATGTGCAGGGGATTACAAGGAGTGAAAGAGAAAGAGAAGACTGAGAATAGGGAGGATTGAGGAAGGGACAAAAGATGAATAGGATTCAAGAAGACAGAAGATAGCGATTGATGTTGCATTTAAATTTTTGAAGATTGCAGTTATCAGGGAAGCAAAGAAATTGAAGAGAGTTCCACAGGTGAGAAGTGCGAGAAAAGAAAGTGTTGTAGTAGAAGTGGCAGTTGCATTTAGCTATTTCAACAGTAAAAGGGTGGGACCTAGATGACAATCTAGTAGCACACTTAAATTCATGTATTTGGGGTAATAGGGGAAAAAAGCTCATCAGAGCAGTTGCTATGAAAATATTTGTAGAAAAGACAGAGGGAAGCCACATCATGTTGGTGAGAAAGTGACTGGTCAGGACTAATTACATTATAAATCTTTTGGATTTTGTCAAGAATCTCAAGGTGTACAGTGGGAGCACCAAACCAGACATAGCAACAGTATTCAATGCATGGGGGAATGGTAGATTTGTAAATGTGCATTCAGGCAAGAAAAATTTTCTGTTATGTCACAGTGACCCAACTTCCCTTGCAGTAGATGCAGCAATTTCTGCACTACCATTTCTTAAAGATTAGGAAGAAAAAATCCCATCAATATTAGGAAGAGTGATAACTGAGTGGAGTTGAAAAACTAATTTTATAAATTTCAACTGACAATAATGTTATTTGTTTGGTTATTGAATACTGAATGTTTTCAGTATGTAAACAGTTAATTCTACCATTTGAGTTTTAAATAAAAAGGAATATGGTGAAAATGTTGCTAATTTTTTCCATTAAATGTTAGAATCAATAGAGAAATCTTCAATTTTAATAAATTGAATATAATGCACACCAATAAAACATCTGTCATGTTACAATAAAAAATAGGTCTTTTTGAATGCAGCTTGTTAAAACTAAATAGTCTTAATGTCATTTAAAAACAAGAACACTCCCAATTGAATGTTTTTATATTATTATATTGACTTTAATAACATTAAATATATTATAATCCTAAAAACGATTCTAATAATAAATTAAAAAGAAATCCAACAAATTTAAATTAAATTGTGAAAAAAAATTTTATTTAGAAGTCTGAGACTTGAGTAGAATGATTTTGTATTTGTGGTGTTTTTTATTTCTGTTTTATCAAGAAAATCCTCCCCTCTGCCCTCTCTCTCTTCCTCTTTATCAGATTGACATAAAAGTTGTCAATGTCACCTTTTGAACAATATTAGGAATATTTCAGAAATTTCTTTGAAATTAACCCAATTTGAAATTTCTTTGAAATTAACCCAATTTGAAATTTTCTTATACAATTTTTAGAAACTATGAAAGTAATTCCACATTAACTTACAGAAACAACACAAAACATTGGTTTAAAGTATTTAAATACTTCTTTTTCTTCTGTTCAACACAGAAAAAATTTTTTGGACAAGATTAGTGATGAAAACTGGATTTATTACAATAACCCCAAAACAAAGAAAATTGTGATTAGGTCCTGGACAGCCTTCAACAACTCTACTTAAATGGAATTTATGGAGTTTGTTGTGATTCAAAGAACTGTTTATTATGAATTGATGGGACCTGGACTAACTATTACTTTCCAATGCTACAGTGACTTTTTTGCTTTTTTGAATGATGCATTGGAAGAGAAAAGAGCTTTTCTCTGGGTAAGGAAGTCAACTAGTGATAATTTTTTCTGCATGACAATACTTGTTCTCTTGTTTTAAATTCTTTGTAGAACATCATCAAGGATTGGAAATTCTTTTTCATGTACCTTCTCTAAACCTGTTATTTTCAATCTATTATTATGTCACATTACTTGTTTGGTCAGCAATTACAAGATGTCAAAGAATTTCTCTGAGAATTGTTTTTTTATGATAGATTTGTATACAATTTTATCATAAAAATATAGGGAAAATACTTTGAAAAACGATGCTATGAACAAATCAACTGAGGGGGTGCTGAAAAATTCTACCTGGTAAAATTTAGTCAAATGGCCAAACAATATTTTGGGGAATTTCTTCTTCATTGGGCTTTACTTTTCAGTAATTGCTTGTAGGTGTGTGCAAAGTTTCCTTTTTTTTTTCTTTTTTTTTTTTTGAAGATTGATGTTTTTTGACTTTTTTTGATACTGAAATACACAAAAAAATCCCCCATTAAATAAATATAATATACGGGTGAGTTTTTGTTGTGTTGAAATCTGGTACCAATAAATAACAAGAAAATAATGTATTAATGTAATAATACAAACTGGTAAAAGCATGTTAGGAGTTCCAGGAATACGGGTTAGTAGCAAAATATATATACAGTCTTTGGTATTGAAGTATCGCTGTATGACTTCTTACTGAGTCTACGCACTCGCTCACTGTGACTTCTACAATGCTGTTACCTCACCCTCACTCTTCCGGTTACCTACAACCTTTTACTCTGTCACTCTGGAATCGACTCTTCAGTCTTGCTCTCGCAGTAGTATATGTATATACTGGGTGAGTTCATTTGTATAAAAAAGGGTGGACCTCTCAACAGTTTTTAAAATTTTTATGGTGTTCAGGTAGTATAACTGTTAATGCCCAGCCGAGTTAAAATTTGCACAGTTAATTGTAATTCATTTCTGCACCAATGCCCTTGGGATAGGCATGAATCCATTTCAAATTAGGGGTTAAAATAGATGAGGAGTAGACAGGATTTTCCAGCTTTGTGTAGCAATCAATTGAAGGGAAAGACAACTCCAAATTCAAACAACATAGAGAAGGCAATGGGAAATCACCCCCAAGATGTTATGGCAATTCATAGATAAAAAAGGAATCTGTAGAGAGCCATGACTATCTACATCCCCCCCTCCCCAAAATATGATCTTTTCAAGCCTCATAATTTAGGTTGTATAATTGTTCTTATGAAATGATTCTGGCCATTGAAAAATTGATGTTGACTTTTAATTCAAAATCTTTTACATAATTTGGACAAAAAAAATTTTGTTTAATAATTTTTCTTTTTTGTTTTCTTTTTTACTGTAGTTTATTTAAAAAAAAATGTTTTTTTTCCTTAACAGTGTTTCCATTCTGTTTGAGGTCTTAAAAAAGCAGAAAGGTGACCAAATTCGAACATTTGACTCCTTTTCTTCTTATTCAGATGAAAGGTAACATTTTAATTTTTGTAAATATAAAAAAAAGTTTGTTTTTTTTTTTTTTTTTTCTTTTTTATTTTGAAAATGATTCCCACATAAATCAGAATTGGTAAAAGCTAAAAAAAAAAAATTGAATTTTGGTAGTCACTTGTCAATCCCAAACCTGAATGCAACATCAAATGTAGTTGATTCAGACCAGGTTAAGGCACAGGTTTTTTGATAGAAAACAGAACATTTTTTTCTTCTAAATGCAGATATATTTTGAAAAAAATTCTCTGCACTTAGTATTTAAAAAACCTTTTAATCTTCAGCTGAAGAGGCCTGTGTTTTCTGAGAATGTTCTTTTTTTTCTGTTATTAAATTGCCTTCCAAAACTTGTAAAATATTTCTTACTTGAATGCATTTAGTCTTTGTAGACTGTTATTTCTATCTTTATCCAGTGTTCTTTTAATATTCTTCAGCTTATGTGATAAGTAGCATTTTCTCTACAAATAATCATATTTAATAAAAAAAAAGAAAATCAAATGATTTTATAAGTGCCAAATTGAACAAAAACAAAGGAAATTATTTGCTGCTGATGAGGAAATTCATTGATCAAAGCAACAAAAGATTCAAATAAACTGGAGAATAAATGTTAATTTTTTGTTAAATTTATTTTGTTAGATATCAATTGTATTACATGATAGCTAGCATCATTGTCCTGTTTATTTCAGATTTAATGTGCCAGACAATGCTGAAAATGATCAAAATGATATTGCTCTTATCTACAGAGAACCAATTGAAATCAACAGAACCACAGATTCCCATTTAGCTGTCTCAGTCAAAAATCTCACTTACTGTATCCCATCATCAAGAGAAATCCTTTGTCAAAGTAAGTTGTTCAATACTTCAAATCATTGAACTCTCTAACTTTTTCTTGGGTTTATTTTTTTCATCTTGATTATTATTTTTTCTCTTGTTGGTTTTCTTTATTAATCTCCTCAAAATTTTCCTCTGCTTTGTCTCTATCTGCAAGTTCATTAAATTGTGGCAATTGCATTTTAGTTGTCTGTAATCTAAAATACAAAGTCACTAAAATGAAATTAACACCAAAGCTGACTGGAATAGCTTCAGATCTTTCACCTCTCTGACCATTCTTCAAAAATAGTCTCAAGAACTACCACCCTCATCTTTGAATGAATCCTTTCTTGCTTGGAAAGTTGTTATAACCTAGAAAGGGTTACTGAATGAGGAATAACCAAAACAGAGGTTGGAAATGAAATGGTAATCTTTATAACATTAGCAAAATAAAATACTCGCCAGCGGTGTGAAGTAGGTAAACCACTGCTAGTGGTGGACTACTTAGACAGCACATTACCACCACTTACAATAGTGTTCAACATATTAGGATTGGGACATACGCATTAGTGTTCATAAATACAGTATTTAACAAAAGTTTTATCCCCCAGAAAAATACTAACAAAAACCAAATGGACAGCCTTGGTTCACATCAGAATATGCTGCAGTCATAGCTTACTGTAACCACTACTACAATATCTACCGCAGGAAAAGGGGTAGTAGAACCCTTACTGCATTCAGAACTGCCTGCAATCATTAGAATAGTTTTTTTTTTTTTTTTTTTTTTTTTTTCATTTCACCCCAAGCAAGGTAATAAAGCCACTAAAATGTAGAGGATTACTGAGATGTGAAAGAATATAAGAAAAAGAAAAATATTATTAAGGAGAGAGAATAATAAAAGAACAGGAATTAAGAAGATGGAACATAACGATTGATATTGCATTTACATTTTTGAAGATCAAGTTGGAAAAGTTCCATAAGGGAAAAAAGAAACCATTAGCATAGAACTTATGGTTACACCTAACCATTTCAACTGTAAAATGCTGAGACCTTAATAAAGTCTAGGTACCATAGATAAAAGTTCATCAAAATGATTACCATGAAAGTATTTATAGAAAAGGTATAGGCAAGCTACATTATGGCAGTGGGATTGTGACTGAAGCCAAGATGCCAGGATTTTATCAAGGATCTCTCTAAATATATAATGGTGGCAACATCCAAAGCATGGACAAATGGAAGTCTTCTCAAAAACTGCAAATGGCAGTCTTCTAGAAAATGCAAAATGTAGCTACGCTACATTTTGCATTTTCTAGAAGATTGCCATTTGGTTATCTCATCCTTGTCAGATAAGGATAAACTTTTGCCTTTCATTCCATGCAAGATGACAAGAGCCATCCTCTTCCCAACTTCCCCCTTCTCACAGAGCACAAACTTTGTAATATCACTATTATGACCTAGGAAGTTTCCTGACTTATCAAAAGCCTTGACCCCAAGAACGTTACCAGTCCAGATAAAATCCTGGTGGTTGTGCTTGAAAACATTAGCCCAGAGTTATCTTCGCTATTGGCAAAATTGTTTAACTGCTGAGTGAAGAATACATCCTTCCAAAGTCTATGGAAGGTATCAAGTGTGTGTGCTCTGAATGTGAGTGAGCACGCATCCCTCTTGCAATATCAGCTGCATCAGCCTCCTTAGTGTTATCAGCAAACTCTTCAAGGGTGTCATCAGCAAGAAGGTTGGGACAACCTCCTGAGCAACAAACAATATGGATTTTGCTCTGCTAGGTCCACTGCTGATATCCTAACTGTCATTACACTCAGAATCAGTGAGGCATTAGACAATAAATATATCATGAGGACAATCTCTCACACACATGCACACACTTATATATATATATATATATATATATATATATATATATATAAATAAAAAGAAAAGAACAGTAAGATATAAAATACGGTGTTCTTATAGATATTTTATTTTTACAAAAAATAGTGCTCAATGTAAATTTACAGAGCATTAATATTATAAATTAATTGATTTAAAATATGGTTATTTTTGCTACACAGTTCAACCATGTTTCAAAAATAGAAGCTAAAACCCTAATTTTATTTTTGCAAATAAATTAAAAGCATTAGTTCCATTTCATCTTCAAGCGAATTTTGGGTAACTTTTAAAATTTACGGGTTTTAAATACACAGCTAAAATCACGTTTCCATGGTTACAGAATATTCTACTCAAATTGAACACGGGGTGTCTAGATTTTCCTTATGACAGTATCATTGTATCAGTTATTAGCTACATTTTGGTAAAGGATGTATTTTACACTGAAACCTGACGTCGGTTGAATGGATGTCGTCTGAATTTAAAAAAAAAAAAAAAAAAAAAAAAAAATTGTTAACGGTAAAAATTTTCAACGTCATCTTTTTAAAATTAAAGATTTTTTTACAATACTTTTTATTTAACTACGATTTGAAATATTTTCCTTTTTAATTTTTATTTTACTATATTCTTTTTAAGAACAGTCAAATGTATTAGACTCCATTATATTATGTAGGATTATTTTAACATTAAGTTTAATTATGTATATGAGGTTACATTTTTTTTTTTTTTTTTTTTTTGTATATAGACTATGACAGCAGAAATGGTTACTTAATTTCACTGATTCAGTAAACTTTTCTTTTATATATAAACCTATTATTATAATATTTCACATGTAAGTACTGAGGACATGGGTCATTCAAAAGCTTACATGTTATGGTATTTCATATTAATTTTATTTTACAATAGGTGTTATTTTTGGATTCTTTTTAATAAGATGTAGTATTATTTAAAAAAGAAATTTAGGTTAGAATTCATTCAATTTAACTACAATTTTAATTACAAATTCAAAATTACAACTTTAAAATTTAAAAAATATTTTCATTGTTTAGTTTTAATAGACTATATTACTTTATAACAGAAGGAAAATTACTCATATTAAGTAAGATTATTTTTCCATATCAAAGTATATGTAATTTTTTTTTTTCTTTTCTTCAAATTTAAATATTATTTAAGTAATATTAATGGCACTTACTACAAAACTAGCTAAGTCATTTCTCAGATTTAGTAAACTTTATTTATTTATTAATTAATTAATTTATTTATTTCAAATATATGTAACCCAATTAATAAAGTTTCATATGTATGTATAAATAACATGTTAGAATTCATTTTATTTTACTACAATTTTAATTTCAATTTTAAAATTATAACTTTAAAATTTTAAAATATTTTCATTGTTAGTTTTAATTTAGACTATATTACTTTATAACAGAAGAATAATTACTCATAGTAAGTAAAAAATTTTTTCATATCAAAGTATATGTAAATTACAATTTTAAACTTTTAATTTAGATATTATTTAGTAATATTAATGGCCCAGACTACAAAACTATCTAAGTCATTTCTCAGAATTAGTAAACTTTATGTATTAATTCAAGTTTAAGTATGTATATGAGGTTACATTTTTTTTTTTTTTTTTATATATATATAAACCTAGTGATATAATGTTTCTCATGTAAGTACAAAGGACATGGGTCATTCAAAAGCTTACATCTTATGGCATTTCATATTAATTTTATTTTACTATATTTGCTTTTTTGGGATTCTTTTTAGTGCGTGTAGTATTATTTAAAAAAATTTAGGTTAGAATTCATTCAATTTAACTTTAATTTTAGTTTCAATTTTAAAATTACAGACTTTAAACTTTTGAAATATTTTCATTGTTAGTTATATTAGACTATATTACTTTATAACAGAAGGAATATTCTCATAGTAAGTAAAATTATTTTTCAATATCCAAGTATATGTAAATTACAATTTTTAAACCTTTATATTTTAAAATATTATTTTAGTTAATGGAACTTTACAAAATTTGTCATTTCTCGGATTTAGTAAACTTTATTTATTACTTAATTTATTTATTTATTTTAAATATATGTAACCTAAGTAGTAAGTTTCATATGTATGTACCAAGAACAGGTTAGAATTCATTTTATTTAACTACAATTTTAATTACAATTTTAAAATTACCACATTAAAATTTTAAAATATTTTCATTGTTAGTTTTAATTGACTATATTACTTTATAACAGAAGGATAATTTCATAAATAACAAAGTATATGTAAATTACAATTTTAAACTATTATATTTAAATATTTAAGTAATATAAATGGCACAGACTACAAAACTATCTAAGTCATTTCTCAGATTTAGTAAACTTTATGTATTAATTAATTAAATTATTTATTTTAAATATAAACCTGAGTAATAAATTTCATATGTATGTACAAAGAACAATGGGTCATACATTACCTTACATCATCTAGCTTTAGTTATAATTTCATTTTTCAGGAATCTTCATTCAAGTGTTTGTAGTACATTTATTATAGAGGTGTTTGGTTAGGATACATTTTATTTAACTACAAGTGTTTATGTTTTAATACGTTTTAACCACAATTTTAAATTTTAAATAACAGTTTAAAACATTTTTCATGCCATTCAATATCTATTGGAATTTTTTTTTTTTTATATATTATTTAAGGAAAATTTTTGACAATGACAGCATATAATAGCTATTTCATTTCTCTGATTCAGTAAATTTTATTTTTTATAAACTTAGTAATATATAGTTTTCTCTTGTATACATAGAGGTAGCAGTTTAATGATCTACAAATTCTAGCTCTTCTTATTAACTTCCATTTTACTGTAGGTGTTTTATTTGATTCTTTTAGATCAGAAATATTTTGAGAGAGATGTTTGATTTTTATATTTATTTATTCAAAGTTTGATGTTGGTTGAATCTTTTTTGAATTCAGCTAGTGCAACCTATATATATTTTTATGTTATCAGGATTTTCCGAAGAGATATTGCATTGGTATACTAATGATTCAGTGCAACATTTATTTTGTAGTGGGCAATTTTGAGGCAACAATTACATAGCTTTTTGTTTATTTACATCAGTTTTTATCTTAATTTTCTATTGTCTAAATTTTTTTTTTGGTTTTGGTATAAGTGTTTATTTAAGATATTAGCATTATGGTTCTTAATGATTTTTTCTAAGTTCTTTGTACAGCTATAACTTAATTTTAGTGTGTTTTTATTGAAAATAGTACTTAGTTTATTTTCACAAGGGAAATCTTGACTATTAATGTGGAATTTATGTCCTAATCTGTTCTTTACCATTTGGTTATATGGGGAGTATACCAAATAATTTTTCTACATCTGTTTTTTCTATGTTTTTCCATTTTCATTTTTTATATATACTAGTTTCTTTTTGTAGCCACTATCTTTTTAGAGCCTTATTATAGCCATTGATATGCTCATCAAAAATCTTGTTATTAATGAATTTGGTTTACTTATAGATCGGTATATGTTTAATTATAGATGGGGTGATTTGATTTAGGATGTATATATAAAAGGATTGGTGTTGGGTTTTTTTTAAAGGTGTGTATGTATTTTTATTTAGATCTAAAGTTATATCTAGGAAGTCTACTTTTTTTAATTTAGTACTAACTGTAATTTTTAAGCCCATGCTTTTAAATTCTTTATATAATAACTTTCTAATTCTATCTAAAAAAAAATGTAACCTCATATACATAATTAAACTTAATGTTAAAATAATCCTACATAATATAATGGAGTCTAATACATTTGACTGTTCTTAAAGAATATAGTAAAATAAAAATTAAAAAGGAAAATATTTCAAATCGTAGTTAAATAAAAGTATTGTAAAAAATCTTTAATTTTAAAAGATGGCGTTGAAAATTTTTTACCGTTAACAATTTTTTTTTTTTTTTTTTAAAATTCAGGCGACATCCATTCAACCAAGGTTTCAGTGTAAATACATCCTCACCTTCAAAATGTAGCTAATAACTGATACAATGATACTGTCATAAGGAAAATCTAGACACCCGTGTTCAATTTGAGTAGAATATTCTGTAACCATGGAAACGTGATTTTAGCTGTGTATTTAAAACCGGTAAATTTTAAAAGTTACTCAAAATTTTCGCTTGAAGATGAAATGGAACTAATGCTTTTAATTTATTTGCAAAAAATAAAATTAGGGGTTTTGCTTCTATTTTTGAAACATGGTTGGAACTGTTGAAAATAACCATATTTTAAATCAATTAATTTATAATGAGCCTTTTAAGGTGAGGCTTAAGGGGTTTGCAACATGAGCTCTCCATCTGAAAAACTGGAAGAGATTTATCAATTATCCATTCCCTTCTAAATTGACTGCAATTTTTATTATAACTTTTGATTTGGTTTGTTCTAAGTAAACCAGAAACCATTCACAAACATGAATGATTTTCTCAACACCTTTTAAAAGATTTCACAATAATGTGAACATGTATCACCAAAACGAGTCATTTAAGTGTATGGCAATAACAATTATTGAATCTGCACATAGTGTACTGGTTATTGGTGTGTCAAGTTCAAATTTGAGCCCAAACTTGCATTCATGCAAATATCCTTGAGAATGGTATAACTCCATTTCTTTCCCACCTCACAGGTAGCAGAACAGACTGGGCTCTTTAACTTTGATTGGCAATCAGTCTAGGAAAAGGACAAAACTGGAGCTAACAGCTGCATCCTATAAAAACCCATTTGCCATAGAAACCACAGCAACAACACCTAGCATAATGAAGCTGTGGCTTTATACTCCAGAGGGGAGTCTACAAGGTTAACAATAATAATTATTGTAGATTCTGTGAATCTAGACTCAAATTGTCTTTACTGTCTATCTTTAAGACAGACTGCAGTAAACCTGAATATTGGTTATTCATTCAGAGAAAAGAAATGGTGGAAAATATACTGATCAAACTAAATCACTCATGGCAGAATGCATAACACAAGCATTTTTATGTCTTATATGCTTTATGGTTAATCTTTGTATTTTATTCATGCTTTTCCTAACCAATGCATTTGTAACCTTCCACTAAATAGTGTGCTGTTTCCTTCAACTCTCTTATTAGCCTCACATATAGGATGTATCATGCAAGGTTGATTTGAACAAGCTTCTCTTATCTTGACACTTTGTGATTGACATTTTATATCAATTATTAATTTGCATTAATATGACCTTATTGTAAGTGAAACAATAATTACTTCTATTTATTGTATTTTTTGTTTTGTTTTTATAACTACATGAAATGCACCAACAAAACAGTAATAAGATTAACCCATCCAGTCCCATTTTTGGGATGGTGGGTATTCGTCAATTATAAGTATAAATTTGTAATTAATACCAAACTTTTTATAAGTCTGTAATTAATACCAGAATTTTAATTATAAACCTGTACTGGCTTTTTTTTTTTTTTTTTTTTTTTTATAAAAATCTTAAATTTTAATAATATTTGTAACCAGATTTATTTTTCTAAATCTCTAATTAACACTGGATTTGTTTAGAAACCTATAATTAATATTAGATTTTAATTTTTATAATTATTACTGGATTTTATGGTGAGCATTAATGGGTTAATACAATTAATCCATTTTTTTTTTTTTTTTTTTTTTTTAAGGCTTTTATGTAAGCCTTTTCTCTTTAATCATTTCTCTATGCAGACTCTACTGATACAAAGTGACTTACCAAAACTTTGCATGTCCTGTTTTTTCTGTGCATTATCTATCATTTATTAATAATTAATTGAGTGATATTTAAGTCTCTCTTTCTCTTGGCCTTGCCTCTTCTTTTAACCATTATTTCATGTTTACAAGATATTTCTGACAATATATATTTCTTCTAGGGTACATAATAAGTTGACTAACAAACTTCATTTTAAACAGTGATTTTTCAAGAATTGTCCAACAATTCTACTGCAGAAAGATTCTGCTAAAAAAAGGGTAAGATTCCTCGGAATTGACTGAAATTTATGATTACAACCAAGATGTGTCTCCCACACACAATGGTGCTGCAGCATTAATAGAATGCACCCTGGATTTGTTTACAGGTCTCACATTGTCAACAACTTATCACTGGATAAGGTTTATTGTTCGGCCAAGATACGAATCGCTTAAATAAATATGCCATAGTTACTTGAAATCAAAAAGGTCCTTCAACTCTCTCAATATTAAAACCACTTTTATTTCAGTAAAGCCTATACAGACTTATACAACAGACCCAAAAGTGCTGCCCCCCCTAAAAGTAACTCCCATGGTGGACTGCCTAACTTCTAGCTACGCTATTGTTTGATTCAATAATTTCTTCAATTTTCTAAGACATTTTATCATGCCAAAATTCGTCATCCCTTTTTATGACCACTTAGAAAATTTAACCCTTTCACTATTTTATTACTTTAGTTGCCTCAGGTGACTTCAGTTAAATTCAGGTGAATAAGTTTGCCACATTAAGTTAGCTATAGTTAAGTAAATAAATATTTGTCTTTTTTCTTTTTTTTTTTTTTTTTTAGTGTGTCAGTAAGAGCCACTAGTAAAATTTATTTTCTATTGCAAGGTTGCTTTCTTGATTATATACAAGTCCAGCAGATCTTGACTTCTTTTCATGTTTTGATTTCAAAATTAGGTTGAAATTTTTGAAGTTAGGTGAAAAATTATTCATAGCATAAAAATAAATTAAATTTTTCTCTTTTGCTTGGTGAGAAAAAAAAACAGACTTCATGTTAACTCTTTAAAAATATCTTAGGATAAAATATGACAATGTGACACTGATGAAATTCTTGCAATGAAAGGATTAATTATATTCTCTTTTTAGGCTACGAATCTTTCAATAAACCATTATACTTTTTTCAACCACATTTTCAGATCTCTTTAACATAAACTTAACAAAATAATGACTTTAACATCCTTCTCTTTAACAGCGATAATATTAATATTTTCTTAGAAAAAAAAACAGTATCATTCATTTATTTTTTTTCAGATTCTCTACATGAAAAAATAAATACCTCTAAATTTAGAAATGGCAGCTTTCCATTGACCTAACATGAAAAATTATTTGCCATTTTTTATTTTTGTTTTATTATGTGTTTTCACAAATAGCTTCATGAAAATTAATAAAAAGACATTTTGTAGACATGTACAATTTTTTAAAAGGCCATTATATTATAGAAGGTGAGTGGCTTTTCAAAGAAAGGACCTGTTCTTTTCTTTCATTTTTTCTTTTTGTACTGATCAAATTTTTCTGCGGATTTCATTGCAACTGCTTTTCTGACCATTTAGATTTAACATTTCAACTTGAGTCTGGAATCAACATTCTAGTCACTGGTGAAAGTGGAAGTGGAAAAAGTTCTTTAATCAGAATGATTAATGGCCTTTGGCCAGTTACATCAGGTAAGCATTGAAATCTTTACTTTGTTAACTATAAACTTAATTTTAAACCAGGTATAATTAACCATAAGCCTTTTCTTAACTCCTGCTTTACATAGGTTATCTGCTATCATAGTTTAGCTTGAATGTAGATTTTTTTAACATCATGTTTATTGTATTCTAAATTTTTGAAGTTTCAATGAATCCATTTGTTTCAGAGTAAATTATTTAAGTAGTAAAATGAAGGGAATCTTTAGAAGAAAATACATTTGTCTTAAAGAAAATACTTTTTTTTCACCAATTGTAATGTTTAGTTGATTAAATGGATATAAATTTAAGAAAGATCTACCAGTCAAAAAATTCAGTTTTACAACTGGGAAAAGGTATGAATGCAACTCTTCTCTCTTCAGCTATGGGTAAATAGTACAGACTGGGTTCTATAGCCTTGGTCAAGGAGAATTCAAAACTCTGAATTCAAAACTCTATGTAGCCTTGGTGAAGTACATACTATGCAACTAAAGGAAATGATCGTTCGTATTGACTACGGTAGATAACCTGGGATTTGGAACTTCTCAGTATATTAAGTAATAAAAACAAAACTAACCTGACTAACATGCTCAAAATATTTGTTGAATTTATCAAAGATCTTCATCTGGAGTGTGTATAGTTTGTTTATTTTTTTTATTTATCTAAAATTCAAACACTCACAGGTCATTTGTTTCTCCTTTTCCATTTATACACAATTTCCTGTTTGTCAAACTTGATAGCATCTCTTGAATCAGCTTAGAACTCTAGGGGTAATTATTTAACTCCTCTCCAAAAATGTACTTTCCCAATTTCAGTGTTGACTTTCTCTTCATATAACTGACTAGTCAACTTTCTGGGACATTGGGAATGACTTTCATAGGCTCATTATATTTAATTTTCCTAGTTGTAGAATTAATACAAATATTTTGTTTGTTACTTAGCTGATTGGTGTTACCTGCAGTATTCTAACTCTAGAGTTTCATAGACAGACCCCCTCCAGCAATCACTCCATCCACTCATCAGAGGATATCAGCAATTAACTGTTTACATTTCTCATTTTTCTTTTCAGGTTCAAATTTGGATGATGTACTATATATATATATATATATATATATATATATATATATATATATATATATTTAATTTATTTTTGTGTCAACCTATTCTGTTATTTTTACTTACTGTATTGATTTTATTGTACTATTACTATCTTTTAAACTAACCCTGTGTCCCCAAACACTCCAGGAAAACAGACTGACTATCAATGAATAAACTATTAATAGGTCAGTTAGTAGCTTATTAGTTGGGCAAAATCATTTGAATGGCCCAGTCAGGTACTGCCTGATATTTTAGTAATAATAATTCTAGAATTCTGATAAAATTGGTTATACAAAATGGGAAATTAATTCATCTGAATAAAATATTAATGCTGACCAATTAATTTTCGAATGTATTGTAACCTATAATCACACAAAAGGTTGTTAATGAACAATAATACTTAGGACAAGAACAACACAAATAAGATTTGCCAGCAGTGCATAGAAGAAGTAGTCAACTGCTAGAAGTGAGTCAAGTGAATTCCACAATGAATCTCCAACTGCAGACCACAGACCAACATATGCAGTATTCACTACTGTATCTATGGTAATAGAGGCATACCCATTGTCATTCATAGGTATGATACAACAGAATGAAATAATGGCTACAAAATTATTCCTTATAAAATAAAATGTTGCTTCTCATACTTTTTCTGCTAAGCAGAGATTAAGATAATTATAAAATTTATAAAAACTATTCAACTATGTATGGGATCTATAATGTAAAAAATATTAATACAGAATTTATTGAATCAAATAATTTTCAAAAAGATTTTAGAAAGTACTTTCATTTCTTTAACTTAATTTAACCAACTGAATTTTGTCATGATTTTTTTATTTCTCTTATGTCTATTCACAGGCCATGTTAAATGCTACATTCATTTGGGTACAAAAGGCATGATGTTTCTTCCACAAAAACCTTATTTCACAAATGGAAGCTTGTTGCAACAGGTAAGTAACATCTGTAAAATAAAGAAACATGAATACAATTTTGATGAATACAATTTTGATCATTTTATATTTGAAAGTACAAAGCCAAAATTATGAATCTATAAGATTGGTGGCATAGTAATTGTGAGTTCAATTCCTAAGCCAGGTAGCACAGACTCTGTGGAAACCAAGCTGATAATGACTGAGCAGTAATAAAAACAAGAATAGGTATCTCTCTAGATCTAGAGTGGAATGAGTATACTCTACCCTCAGTTCAGTTCAAAATTCCTTGAAGGTTATCCAGATAGACAGACACCTGGAAAATGCTAGAGGGCACAATGGTTAAAACATTGTGATATTAACAAAAATAAGAACATTAGTCTGAGTGTAAATAATGTAAATACAAAACCAAAAATTGTGGAATTCTTATAATATTCTTTTATAAAACTTATTTTTACAAGAGTTAGAAAAATCCAACTTTTTTTTTTTTTTTTTTTTTTTTTTTTTTTTTCTTTTTTTTTTTTCTTTGTCACTTTCCAATTTTTTTTTTTATAAATCTTACTGGGTTTCTTTTTCTGTGAAAGAAATGAAAATATTAAATAATTAAAAAAATATATATATATATTAAGAAATAAGTAACTATTGGTCCACCCTGTAATATAATTCAGAAAACTGAATGTCTCTTCCTCAAATAGGTCGTTCTTGGGTAAGTTACAACATACTATCAGACTTAGGGCAAATTTTAAAAATGTAATGTGTATTTTGATATTTCATCTCTGCAATAAGATTTTCAAGACAGACATAAGGATTTTAACTGTCAGAAGAATGATAACTTATTGACTTAAAGAAAATTGATAAATTATGACTGGAATACAAAGCCACTTCAGAAGACTTAAAAATATTACAAATGTAAATAAAGACTATAATTATAATCTACTTAAAAATATTTTATGTGGGGAATGTTAAAAAGTTTTCAGCTTAACCAAGAAGCCCTTAAAAATGAACCTGATGACTGATCATTTAGTCAGATTTTGGGAAGTGGGTCACTTGTACAATATTTTATGTGGGGAATGTTAAAAAGTTTTCAGCTTAACCAAGAAGCCCTTAAAAATGAACCTGATGACTGATCATTTAGTCAGATTTTGGGAAGTGGGTCACTTGTACAATTTGTGCAGGGTTACTTTAGAATTGATTAAATTGAAACTTCTATTGTATGATTTAAAGATTAAAACTTGTTTGGCTATTATGAAAGAACAGACAGCCAGTGCAAGAGTCATGTGGGCCCCCACCAAATCTGATACAGGGCCTCCCGAATCTATGATACAGGGGTCTCCATTCTACTACATCTCAATTTTAGTAAGGTACTATTCATATAAAATACAAATTTTATTGTAACCTAATTATGTACAATAATGGATCATATGCAAAAAAAATACAATCCAACTAGAAAAATTGAAAATAAATACAATGTATCTAAATACAAATTAGAGACATGTCATAAATAAATCAATGTTTTGCAGCAATTTTTAATGTCAACTTGAGATGTCGTTAAAAAGTTGAATAATTTTAACACATTAAGCATTATAGATAAAAAATCGTGAATTTTATATACTGTTTTTTGGTGCTCAGCATTAGCAAAACAAATTCATGGATTTGGATGAATAGGGAAAAAAATGAGTCTAGAATGACATCAAAATCTACAAAGATTTTTCATCCTTTCATCGTTAATTGTGTTTAGTTTAATTTGTAACTTATATAGGTAGAAAAAAGCAAATGTTGATAAGATAGCGAGGGTCACAAAGCACTGTCTGGGGCCACCAATCATGTTTGCTGATCAAGGGGTTGAGGGTAGTATGCACCTGTCCTGGTAACAGATATGTTATAGAACCACATTCTGGGATGTTTGTTGCTTATTTAATTTCTACTTTGTTCTTTTCTTTTGTTTTGTAGATTATCTATCCTGACAATGAGGAAAGTTTTAGTTATGGTAAGTGGAACTCATTTCGTCATCAACATCCTGGATACATACACACATTAATTAGAGATTGCACAAAGAAACTTAATGTTTTTTTTATTTTTGTATGTATTTATTTTTTTTTTTTATTTTTTTTTTTTTACTAATATTAACATTTAAATTTTGATTTTAAAGTTTCAGAATATTACCATAGAGCTTTTTTAAACTGTTCTTATTAAGTTAGGGGTTGTTGTTTAAAGTTGAGATGGTGTTGTATATTAAACAAAAACTAAAATTGGTTGAGAAAATAGACAAACAAAAGAGTGAAACAAACAAGATTGAAATATTTATTCTATTTTTTTGTGTAGAGAAAAATTCAAGGAATATTCTTAAGTATTTTCTGTAAAGAATGAAGGAAAAGTTGAACTTACTCTGCAGGTGAATTAGAAAGTGATGTTTATAGTCTAAACCATGAGAGTCTATTGCACAGAGTGCTAATTTTTAGCATCCTATCCCAATCTTTGCCCACAGTGAAAGAGAACTAGCCTCTCCTAATTTACAACACGCACTCTCCCAGTATTTTTTTGCTTTTTACACATGCCCGAAAGCTGAAAAGGGGTTACTGCTGGCTGCTGATATTCTGTCTTTTGATAATGATATTCTTTTCTCTAACAAAAACATTTTGATTTACATTTAACTTGATTAAAACATTGAATTTTATTAATATAGATTCATTATTGTATTATGTAAGTTCACTTATGCTGTGTATTATTTGTTTACTCTGACTTTCCTTTTGAATTTTAAAGTGAAATTGCTGACAGCCAAATAAGCTGGTTAATTAATGGCAGTACTAAGTTAGTTGGACTTGCCTTGAAGTTATTTAGGTAAGAACAGGGTCAGAATATCCTTTAGGTTATTTTAAATATCCTTTAGGCTCTATTTAAATAATTTGCAATAAGGTTATTTCAAGCTATATAAATGTCACTAAAATATATCACAAATAGTAAAATTTTCAAGATGGATGCAGGTGAGTTAGAGGTGGGTGGCATTTTCATTAGCCTAGGAGCCCAAAAAGTTCATAATCAGTCTTGAGGGTGAGATGAATTATGACAATATTTATATTTTGGAAATGGCTAACACAGAATATTCAAATGAGTAGCACAAATTACTGGCATTGATATCTCCATTGATTCTATGTGTCAATATAAAGAAAGGGAGAATCATTTCCTGCACTTTTAATCATCAGACTTTTCTCTGTAAACTAATATTTTATTAAAGTAAACACTGTAATTTTTTGATCTTTTGAATAAAAGCATTTTCCAGTTTCTAAGCTTTTTTTTTTTTTTTTTACATATCTATAAGTCTAGCATTCATCAAGGCTTAGAATATTGCTGCCATATATGGTCCGGTAATCCTGCTATTTACCTTGAGCTTGATAAAATCCAAAGAATCAGCAATATTATCAGTCCTGATCTGATGGCTCAGCTTCAGTCACTTACCCACTACCATAAAGTTGCCTCTCTGTGCCTTTTCTATAAATACTTTCATGGTAATTTTTTGGATGAGCTTTTTGCTATGGTACCTAAAGATTTTTAATTTAAGCATAGTACTAGACTGGTGTTGATATTTTATCAATGTACAGTTGAGCTGGCTAGATGTAACCATAAATTCTATGCTAACAGTTTCTTTTCTCACACTTCTCACTTGTGGAACTCCCTTCCAGTTCTATGCTTTCCAGCCAACTTTAATCTGTAAAAATTTAAATACAATGTCAATCACTATCTACTGTCCTCCTGATTACTCTTTCTTCTTCTCACTCATTATTAATGTTTTTGTTCCTAATTATTCCACATGCTGTAATCCCTTGTGCATGAGGTGATAACAAGTAAAAAAAAATAAAAAAAACTCCTTTCCATCTTTAACCTAATATTTAAGTAAGACGTTTAGTTCAGATGACAATTAGAGAATTTTAAATACTGCAGCATAATGTAGATAGCCAGACACTTGTCTGTACTTGTAAAATCTACAAATACAGGCAAAAGTGTATGTAGGCAATATTTGCTGCCATGTTAATTTAATGATGGCAGTTGAAGCTGAAAACAATAAAACATACAGCACAAAGGAACATGAAGGACTTCTATATTTTACACAAACACACAATATGAATATAATACTTGTCTCTTAAATAAATACTGTGCTTAAAATACAAATACATGAACAGTACATATGTTATTTAAAATTCTATTTTATATCTATTGTGGAAATTCATTGTTAAGAGCAACTTGAAAAAAAAGGATATTCCATAGTTATGGGTTGATTTAGTGGTTGTTGAGTGAATGAGTATTGTATTGAGATTATTAAAAGAGAAGGACAAGTAAAAGAAAATAAAAATGTTTTTCATTCTTAATACATCTTCTTAGTGATATTGCCTTTTTATAATAATAAATTTAATTTTATGATATATTTTTTTTACTTTTTAGATTAAATATAACTTTCTATGATTTAAAAAAAACCATTCCAGTTAAACACAATTAGAAATCTTCATTAAACCTGCCAAATATTTCTGCCATTATCTTTTAGTTAAATAAGTTTTCTTCTTTCTCAACAGATCCTGTAGTTTGTGATGAAATCTTTCGCTATTTAGAACAAGTTCAGTTGCAAAGTCTTGTATCAAGAGTTGGTCAACTGGACAAAAAATTAGACTGGGACTGGTAAGTCTTTTACATTTGCTAAGACACTTTTGCTTTATTTTCTATACATTTTGTTTGTATTTTTGTATATCTATGTACAAGTGGTTAATGAATCACAGTTTAGAATGAGAAATTGGATTGTTGAGTTTAAATTCCAGTCAAGTTTGTTCCATTCACTTACACACAAAATACCCTTGGGAAAGTATCTCCTCCCCCCTACACTTATAGGTTCATAGTAGAACAGACTAGGCTCTAAAGCTTTGGTTAGTAACCAGTCTAAGTGAAGGACAACCCTGAATTTAAAACCTGAGGGTGGCCGTTTGCAGAACATGTGCACCAGTTCTCTGTATTCAGTTCTTCCAAAGAGTGGTTGATTCTACAGTAGCCTTCACTATTATAATTCAATCATATGTGAAGTGCAGGATAGTCTGGCTGATCAGTTCTAAAAGATGAACTGTTGAACCCTCATTGATCTAAGACAACAGAAGAGTCCATCATAATTATAACTATTCCAGCTAACATTGTTGGGGGTGAGGAAGCAGGGAAGAAAGAAAAAATATTAAAATGAATCCTTGAACAAAAAAACATGTTGAGGAATAATAGCAAGAGTGGCACACATGATCCAGGAAACACAGGCTGAGAATTATAAAAGTTTTTTTTTGGGAAAAAACCTGTTACTAGTTATCTCAGGACAACACAATGTTAGTGCCTTGTGTGTCAAAAAATATGTAATTTTTTGGCCAATAACAAGATATGAAATAAAGCAAAAAGATTGCATTTATGCACATTGTAAAAAATCAAAACCCTTCCTTTCCATTAAAGTCTAACAACAAACACAACATAAATCAAATTAACATTATGAGGCAGAAACACTCTTTTAAGGCAAACAATATTACCCAAGGGGATGTAAAGTTTGTTATGAAAATCCCTGAGCACAATTCTTCATTTACTTGAAATTGGTAAATATCCAAAAAGTTTCAAGGATAGAAATGGAATAGTAAGAGAAACAATATTTCTCTATGAATACTGCCTTCCTGTACCAGTGTTGTATTTGAAAATGGTTAACACAGAATATTGGGACTTAGTAGCTGGGTGTGGCTATGAACTTGTCTCCAGAATCACTAGTAATAAGCCAGGTTTGAATCCAGAATGTTCACTCTTCCCCTAGGGCCGAGAATTTAGGCCATGGTGTAGGTGTATGCTGAAGAGAGTAATTTTTGATATAGCCTAGTAAGTTTTTCAATTCCTTAAATAGGCATTGCATGGTCCTTATGACTACACCTTTAAAGAGTAATTGACTTGTGGGTGGTTTCATACTGAATTAGGCTATTCCAAGAAGGGCTGGGTATTAATTGGCAGATTAAACATTAAACCCACAGACTGCTAGGATGAGCCATGTAGTTATAGATAAATAGTTATTGTATAGATCACATAGCTTGCTTGCTTGTTTTGTATTTGGTCCTCAGGATTCTATAAAAACTTAGTGTAAAAGATGAGAAGACAACATCATAGTACAGAGACCAAGACAATATCACTTTTGTGCATATGTATTGGAAAGACTGCATGCAAGCAGCAAGAGGATTAAAGTCTGTTAAATTAATAAAAAAAATTATTCTAAAAGATTATTTGAAAACCATCCTTCCTGTGTATGTTTAGTAAAATTTGTGACATGAGTTCAGTTTGATTTCTAGAGCTGAAATTGAACATGTGAATAGATCATCTTTATGAATTATATAAAATACTGTTATATATACTTGATCAACTTTTATAAATTCTTAATAATCAATATGACTGAAACTTTCTATTTTTAAGGTTAAACTTAGCCTTTTTTCTCCACTGGATTAAATTTAAAAAAAATACACTTTGCTACAAGGGGGTGGGGGGTTTCTGCAAATTATTCTTAAAAACAAGCCAACAATTATCAGTATTTGCTTCAAAGGAGAAATTTTATTCATATTTTTTTTGTTAATCTGCATCACCTTAGAATGTGTTTTTATACTCCAATATTGAATAAGTTTATTTTTCAGATGATTATAATTGGGGTGAGTGCTTAAAACCTTAACCCATAAATTACAAACTTTTGATAACATTAAAAGTTCAAAACTTGTTCAGTATTTTTTAATTTCTGATTTGAAAAAAGAAAAAAGTTCTTTGTTAAAAAGTTTTTAATCTCTTCAATCAAAATGGATTGCAGCCAACTCACCTTATTGAGACCCCCCTACACTTATTACAAATAAAAACTAATAAGTATGTTGACTCAAAAAAAAAAAAAAAAACTGATGTTATCATAACTGATAAACTTTTTTTTTTTTTTTTTAAGAACAAAGGTCTCCTTTACAAAATATAAAATCCATAACATGTATCTCAAAAAATTTGATAGCATATAAAACTCTTTTTTACTCCGTAAAAAGTAGTCCAGAAAATATTTACAGTATCTGGCTAAATGTAAGTCTACCAGATATTTCAATTGGTAGACTACTGTTTATCCAGCTACTGTAGACTTCTCTGGATTTTAAAGTCTGTTAAATATGAATAAAAAATATAATCCTTATTTCATTTTGTATTCTTGTTTCCAGGTACAATGAATTATCCCCAGGACAGCAGCAAAGACTTTGTTTTGCAAGGTTGTTTTATCATAAACCTAAATATGCTGGTAAGCACAATGTTTTCATTTACATTCTTTCATATATGTAATATAAAGTGAAGTCGAATAACTTTAATAAATGTTTTTGGGCTTCTATTAATTGACAGGATTTTGGCTGATAAATACATTTAAAGTTTGAATAACTAAATTGTTTTGTGGCAGATATGTTGGAAAGTAGATTTTTAGTTAATTTGAAATATTTTCTCAGAGAGAGCCTTGTGTAATCTAATGGTTAATAACTTTGTTAGTTATAATTCATGGATTTATAAACCTGCATAAACTGCTTTTTTTTTTCTTGAAGCTACAACTTTAAAACTTTTCAAAAACAATCATTTTTTTCCAGCTACTCTGCTGAAAAGAAATCCTAATTCAGTTATAAGGTTTTTCATGTAGATAGCAAACAAAAAAGTGTTTGAAGATATTTAGTATGTGTACCTGTACAGGGTACTAAGTAAATGAAATTAGCACTTTTATATAAGGAATAAGTGATAAAATATTTTTATTAATTGTTGGAGACATAAGAAACTGAGAAGATAAAAGATCTGCTTATTAAAATCCATTTCTTTTATATTTCACTGATTTTAGTTGGTTTTATTTTGATGTTAATGGGCTTATTATTTCAGATATAGGTCAATGCATATTGTCTCTCATGAATGTGTAGTGTCTTTTTTTTGTTGTACTCAACGGAAATCAAGCTAATAAAAAAATAAACTTCCTTAACTGCTATTATTAATTGCAGATCAACCAAAACCTATTTTCGTTTGTGCTATTAACTCCAATGTAAAGTAGCAATTTTTCATCAGATATCTCAATTGCATCAATGTTGAGTCTAAAATGTAACTTCATGATGCTGTTAATATAAGTTGTATTACCAATTACCATTCATGCAGATGACGTGATAGAATGATATATTTAACTCCTAAATATTTAAAGTGGAGTCAGAATTGGACATTTTAAAACTAGAGAAGTTGTTCTTTTACCCAACACATGAAGATTTATTGTTTTAATTTCATCTGTGTATCTGCAAAATCAATGTTGTTGTTCCTACTCTTTATGATAATTATTTTTATTATGTCACAATAGAATAGCACTTTTTTTAATGATAGGATGTGACCAGCAGGGTCTGTAGAAAAATCATGGTGTAAATTTGTAATTTAGGAACAAAACATACAATATTTCCATTGTGGAGGAAAAAATATTACTTGGTGTTTAAATTTTTCTACAAATTTATAAGCTTGATGAAAAAATATAATTATTTACTTTTTTTTCTTTTGTGAACTTAACAAAAGACAGTATTTCCTGTGAAAAATATCCTGTTTTGGCTTGTAATATATTAATTAGTTGATGGTTTTTCTCTCAATACCTTTCATTAAATAGCAAAATCCACCTGGCCCTCCTAAAGGAGGAAATTTGGATCATCAAGCTACAGTCTTGCCTTCCATACAGTGTATGCTCTCCTCTTGGAAAAAAATGTTTTTTCTTTAAGTATATTTATTATTGGGATGTAAAAAAACTGTATCTATGCCATTCAATGTGAATAAATAAAAGCAAAAGCTAAACTAGAATACAAACCCCACCATTTAAAATGTAAAATGCAAAAAATTAAATTAATGCAGTTAAATAGAGGAAATAATAAAACAAAAGAGAAATATTTTTTCACAAGGAATGTAGTAATTCATAGTATTGTTAAAAGTTGAGTATGACAGCAATTTTATCACATTGTAAATAATATTTTGTGTATTATTGAAATATACAAACTCTTTCAATTCTGTTTCAAAAATAACCGCCTGCACTAAATATCCATTGGCCCTGCTAGTGTATATGACAGCAGATTTTGTTGGATTTTAGAGAAAAATTTTCAAAATAGTGTTTCTACAATATGATGATAATAGAATATTGATCTTATATTTTTTTAGTAACTTGATGACTTTTTTTTCTTTTTCCAGCACTTGATGAATCAACCAGTCAGATCAGTCTAGACGCTGAACGAGTAATTTATTCTTTGTGCAAAGAATTGCAAATAACATTTATCAGCATTGGCCATAGACATAGTTTACGGCAATATCACCAAATAGAACTTCATTTAGAAGGCAATGGTGGCTGGAAAATGGAATCCATTGAATCATAGCCCAAACTCCTCTCATTGTGTTGCTCTTTTTCATCTTCTACACACTTTTATGGGGACTATTTTTCACTTCTTTCACACAATGCTTAAGGTTTCTATTAGGAGGTAAATCATATTTTTCACTTATCATTTTTACTATCTTAAAAGCTAATTTGAAAATTTTAATATAAATAAAATTAAGTCTTAAATTTAATAAGTTTAATAAATGCAAGATTTCATATCATAATAAAGAAAGTAGAAGAAAAGCTACATGAAAATATGTAGCGACAAAGCATACAAGCTCAGAATAGAGTTTTAATATTTGGCTGTGATTATTAGAATTGGATGAATGTTATTAACTGTAACTTTTCATCAGTGTTCCATGTAATGCAATACTTAGACAGGTGTTTTGAAAATCTCTTTTTGTTGAATAATCTGAGGCTGTTGTGTGCATTTTTGGCATTATTCTTTTTCTAAATATAGGTGTTGTCTGAAATATTAAAAAGAATTATTCTACAGCACTAGGGATTTTGTATTTAAGAAAATACATTGAATGTCAGATTCTCATAAGTAAGGTTTTTGATCACCTGAAAATATTTTGAAAAATAACACAGATGTAGACTATGGTACCAAAACTCATTGAATAAGACAACAGCTGAGATAAAAATTTTCAGGCTGTAACTTTGCTTAAATGAACTTCTTTTTTTTTTTTTTTTTTTTTTTAAACTAGTGTGACTTTTTCTTTTCTTTTTTTTTTTTTTAAAGACATATGTGATTCACTCAGCAAAAGTAGAAGAGAATCACCTGATATTCTTTTAGACTTTTGGTCGTAATTTTATACCAAGGTTAAGATTTGATTTTGAAATAACTTTTAGAGATATACCATATATGCAATAATATTATTGCATCCCTTATGCAATATTATCGAATACTGTGGTTAAGGTAAATATGAAATAAAATAAAAAAACATTTGATATAAGATAATGAAAATGGAGTTTATTTTTCAATATCATTCAGAGTACTCATTTGAAGTTAACATTTCTCCATTAATTTGTAATCCAGAGAATGAAAGTAAATTGAATGAACATGTGTAAATAATCATTATTTAACCTGTTGAACCCATAGTATGAGTTTATTGGTCCAACACTCTGACATCTAATCATAAAAAAGAATTACATGCCCCTGTCAAAAGAATAATGCAGAATAAAAAAATTTTGCTGTTCTTCACTGCTGATTTGTTCTATTACTCAGGTAGTTCTGAAATAGTAAAATTTACTCAAAAAGTCCAGAGATATTGTATCATCAAAAGATCAACTCTCAAGGTTCAATGAGTTTATTAACTGGAAAGGTGTGGAGGATTTTGTTATTTAAATAATTTATTCTACAGAATAGAATCTATAAGTATCAGTCCCAAAAGTACACAATGCACAAAAATTCATTTTATATTTGATTAGCAAAAGAAAAATACAAAATGACAAATGGCTAATCATATATGAGTTTAAACATTTTATAACAGCCCAAAAATCATAATGGCAAAATGGAAATACTTTCTTATGAGAAATTCAAAAATTCCTGCTAGCATTTTCTTTCAAATTTTCCTTTTTGACATTAAAAAAAAATAAAACTTTAGCTTTTGAAACTTGATCTCTCCTGATTTTGTTTTCCCAGAGATTCTAATGTTGAGATGAACAAACCATTCCTTCTCTCTCAAAGATTTGATTTCATCTATTTTGAGAGAATTTAAAGGAGAAAAAAATGGTCAAAAGAGAAATAAAGCAAAGGTGGGGGGGGGGTGAATCCATCCAAAAATTGTCATAAAACTTTTGAGCCTTTCACACACAATTTTTTTATCATGCTGTGTTTTGTGAGTTTGATTTTCATTCAGTTGGTTGTTGCAAATGCATTGCCACTTAAGGAGTCATCAATTTTCTTTTATAATTTTAAGACAATCTTTTTCTAATTTTTATACATTTTTTAACAAAATTTTCTTGGGGAAAAAGTTATTTTTAATGTTGTTGAGATATGAATAAATTATTAAATATTAACAAAATTCACAATTGTTCTATATGTTTACTTATTAATCAAGCATGTTTTTAAAATTATCTTATTACTGCGGTGATATTTTTTAAGATGGACATATCAATTTTTTATTTGAATGAATTAGATGTGAATGAAAAACAATAACTAATGGAAGATTAAATGTGAGGGATTAAGGGAAAAGAATGAATGAAAATTCTTTCCAGTATGAAAGGATACCATTTTTATTAATAAAGTAATTTTTAATCATTGTTATTTTTTATTAAAAAACAGTAATGTTCTTTTTAATATTTGTTCGAAAACCTTTTCTTTTTTTCACAAAAGTTTACAAAAACATCTCTTTATCATTTAACAGTTAAAATTTTATTATATATATATATATATATATATATATATATATATATATATATATATATATATATATATATATATGTTGTTATATCAAGAAATAAATGTGTTACTTTGATTCTATATTATAAAAAATATGAAAAACAAAACATGATTTAAAGAAAGAAAATTCAGCAATTGTTTGAAAAATCAATTTTAATCTGGGTGTTTTGCTGTGTTTTGTACAAATCCAACTTCATCGTGGATAGATTTTTTTTCACTTCATATAGATAATGAATATCTATAAGAACTATAGAGTTTGATGAATTCCTATTTTAATCATTTTTTATGAACACTACAGTCTTTTATAAAATTGAAAATTTAACAACTGTAAATAAAACATTTAGATAATAGAAAATCTCAGTATATTTAACTAAGATATTGGTTTTGAATCAAAGTTCTCACATAACTTTTAATAATGATAGCTGATTCATTTTTAATATATTTATGTAAAAGTTTTGCAGCTAAAAGCAAAAAAATAAATATGACATTACTTTTTTAAAATCATATGATGAAAAAATTCCTTTTTGTTGTTTGCCTCCTGCAGCATTGGTTCTCCAAAAAGGCATCAATAATAAACATTTATATTATAATAGTTTGCAATGTATAATTTCTACATATAAAAGTATATTATAAATATTTTAATTTTTAAAATTGGAAGTTATTGCTATAAAATGAGATATCAAAAATGATATCTTGTAACACTTTTTCCCTTGCAAATCTATAGTGCTCCAATATTTATAAATTTACCACATTACTAAATTAGGAATTAATTAGTGGAGTTAATTATTGATTGTATTACAAAAAAAATAAATATGACATTTATTTATAAATAACATCATACATTGGGATAATGAATAACTATCACAATCGGTTTCATGATATATTTAATAATTTTCATAACAGGAAAACACAGGAAATTTTATTTGATTAACAAAAATATTAAATTTATATAATTTCTTTGTAATAAAGAAAGATACAAAAACACACATTTCACCCAGTATTAAACTTCATGTATTTGAAAATACTTCAAATGATAGGTCAAGTTTTATTTTCGTTTCCATACATATGCACAGACAGGTGCACACACACACACACACACACACACACACTATGAAAAAAACTTACACTAATGATAAGTGCATATAAAAAAGAAAAATCAAGAAGTATAAGCAGTCAAGTGCTGATACCCCTTGACAAGTTGACAGATCTATCTATGAAACTCTGGAAGCAGAATACTGAAAGTAACGTCAATCAGCTAAGTGACAAAGCTTTTACTTGTATTAATTATATAGTAGTTCAAAATAAGGCTTTTAAAATGTTCATTTAAAATAACATTTATTTTCTAAATTTTTTTTTTTCCTTGCAAATTTATTTTCTAAAAAGCTCATTGATTGTCATTGGATATTTCTACTTGTTTTGCTACTAACAAGGCAGGCATGCGTGTGCCAACAGAAAATAACTCCTATGGTCGTCACTGCTATGGAATTCTTATATCCCTTTTCAAACTTCTGACATGATAATATTCATGTGTAAGATAACGTTAATATCAGCTCAAAAATACAATTCAAGCTCATTAATCTTTTAATTAACAAATTATCTCATTACATGACAATTATGATTACATCTTCTTTTTTCACTGATGAACCTTCCTTGTTTCATATCTATGATATGCTCAAAGTCAATTCATTCCAGCTTTTCTACACTCAGTAAAGCATCATTAGAATCTGTCTTGATCTCCCTCCCGTCCCTATCAAATATATAAAAATTAGGTTTTTATTGCTATAACTCTCTTGAGTCAAATTTTCCAAGCCTTCTTTTTCTCATTAACTGGCAATAATTGTCGTTTTGTTTCCATTTTAAAAACGTCGTCTTTGGTTTACATGTTTGAATTCTCAGTATCCTTCTGTTGGACTACATCTGTGTTGCTCAATGGGGAAGAATCATTGATTGATTTTCATAGCAGTTCATCTTTTGAACAATGAAAGGTTTTGATCTGTTCTCCACATTAGGCTGTATATTTGTTCTGCCCATCATTAAGTTAAACAAAATTACAATAAAGTTTTGTTTTTTTTGCAAGGAAAGTTTGGGGAGAACCACCTCTTGATTGCTGTTGTTCCCAGGTCTTGAAGGTGTTAGCACCTGTTAGGATCCCAGCTATTTATTGCCTAGGTTTGTGATTTGCTGGCCAAAGAGGTAACATTGAACAGAATATAGCGTATTGAGCACTTTTTGTTATTTTTTAATGGTAGAATTTGTTAAATTCCTTTTTTTCCTTAGGTTTATTTTTATTCATTTATGACGGTTTTTTTTATTTACAAGATTATTTTTTTATAATATATAATTATTCAAACATATAAATTTAAATCCGATAACGGTTAGGAATAGCACACATGGTATTAATTAAATTATATAAGAGAAAAATTTAGGAAGCCTATGTTCCTAAATTTTTAACTTAAGTGAGCGATCTCTGACAACTGGCAATGAAAATTGTAATGACTATCAATCTATGAATAGCAATGGGGAAGACTCTCTCATACTGAACAATGAAAGGTTTTGATACTCTCCACATTAGGCTGTATATTTGCTGCCCATCATCA